CACACTTCAACATTGTGACCCTCTCCACACAATACTGTAGCCCTCACCACATCCTTATATTGTAACCACGTATTAGTTTTTCTTGCAGCCTTCTCCATGTCCACCATCTCACCCATTCACCCCATGATTTTCTCAACTTCTCTGACTATGATCTCCATTATCTCTACTACCTCTCAAATGATAACTTCCAGCATCTCTCACCATATAAAGGACCTAACATTCATTGTTTGGGCATCGAAGTTTATGCGCAAAAGTGTTGTTCATAGTTTTAGGCAGAAATCACTTTGTAAAAGTGGTAGTTTCTCACACCGGGGAACTACCAAGCCATTAGTTTTAGGCCTACAATCTATGTGCTCTTGGATCGCAATCTTGCCGACATCATTTTAAATCTTTATTCAAGTTTCAAGAATGATTTCATTCGTAGTTTTATTCAAGCTTATTTCGTCTGCTTTACTTCCAGGTTTATTTATTTACAATTATTTTAGTTTCTTATTATTATAATATTGTTTTATCATTACAAATCTAAATATGCCTATGTTCATGGTTAATAATTATAATTGCATGATTGTTGCTTTAAGTATGTCCGACTAAATTGTTTCGAGTCTGGTATGTGAGGATCGTCGTTTCCAACAGGACCCGGTAACAATGTTGGTTTAATTTTTATATCAAAATCCTATTTTTGGTTATTGTTTTTAAACTTAATTTAAATAGCTCTATCACAAGAGTGAGAGGTTACTTAACATGATTTTGTCACGAGAGTGAGAAATTAATCAAGGTTTGAGTCAGCATTGCGAGAGCGTGGGGGTTAAATCATATAGTAAAAATGGGACATCGATCTTAAAGGGGGCGAGAGCGCTTTAAGTATAGATTAGGACTTGTTCAATTTTCAAAACACATTCCTTAATTAAAATGGGTGAGCGAGAGCAAAATCTCATGGTTAAGGAATGTGGCTTTATTCAAAATCACGAGAGTGTGAGGTTCAGTCTTTAAATTGATATTTTCTACTAAACACGTTTTTAACATCTCCAGTCTCTCTTTTATTATATATTTCTTTAATATTATTTTAGTCTTTATTTTAGTCTTAGTTTTCCATTAATCAATCATTCATTAGCCTTAGCTTTACAAAGCAACGATAGATTACAATAGGTTGACATTGGTCTCTGTGGGTTCGACAATCTTTTATATTACTTCGATATTTTTGTGCACTTGCGGATGCATCAATGTCACTACATCTTGACCAACTGTCATGACAAGTTCAGCTATCATCTGTATCAGACTAATGTTGAGCCATATTTCTTGACATCTTGGTTTGTTATGTAGTAGGCGCTGCTATTTTTGTTTCCTTGAAGATTTGATTGAAAAATATGAGATTATGGAATATTCTAATACTCACACGGGCGCAACAAATCAAGGATATTTTAGGAACATGTGCAGATTTGATTTGTTTCATTAAAAAGGATCTTTGAGACTTTTTAGGAAACTTTAAAAGATTTATTCCTATTTTTATACGAAGATCTTGCAGTTGATTTAAAAAGTGAAGATTGGATTTGAATTGAAGAGTCCAATCCCATTTTGCAAGAGTCTATAAATAAGGACTTGCTAGACCTAAAATAGAAAGCATTCACATAGAACAAACAATGGGTGCAACATAAGGATTAGGGTTTTGAGATTCTTTTAAGTTCTTTGTGTTTTGTGTTCTTTGTGTGTCACTCATGTATCTTTTGATGCATTAAGCTTGATTGATTGTTACTTGATAATTTTATCAAGTTATTGTTCTCACTCATGAGCTTTTAAGCAAAGAGTTAAGTATTGTTCTTGGTTGAAGCTTTTAAGTTTTGTATTGTTTATTTGAAGTGTAATCTTTTATTGGGTTTTAAGTCTAGTCACATGTTGTGACTGTAGGCACCACTGTGGTGATTGGAAGTGAGATAGGATTCTCGTATCTAGGAGGTTCTTAGGTAGAAGTTGCACAAGGTAGTGATTAGGAGAGAAGTTGTAAACTGGGACTGTTTAAGCTTTGAACTAATATTATCATAGTGGATTTCCTTCTCAGCTTGGTAGCCTCTAAAGTAGGTGACGTTGCACCGAATTGGGTTAATAATTGATTGTGTTGTTTAATTTTATGCAATTTATTTTCCTGCATATTCTGTAGTTTCCTGTCAATAGATGTTATAACATTTGTCTTGACATTGTGTTGGTGTTATGAAATCAGTCTTGACATATGTACTGCAAGTGCTAGAATTTCATACACCACACATGATTTTGTTGAAGGAGCTATAAGAGAAGAATCATCAGTATTGTGAGTAGCTAAGGAATCTGTCAATTATCTCATGAAGTTTTGAGTGAGTATGGATTATCCAATCAGAGTAAGATGTGGTAACGATGAATTTTTGTTTACTTAGTTCAAGGAAGAATAAGTAGTAGACCCAGAGTATATCAGTGACAAGCAATTTAGAACAACATGTCAGATGAGTTGAGTATGAAGAGGTTACAAGTTAGTCGAAGTCTGGAGTAAGGATACATTCTAGGAGTTTTGGAGGATTCATGGAAGAGTGGAATTTTCTAGAGGAAAGAAGAAAGGAAAAGATAAGAAGAAAGAAGAGATGAGTAAGAGGAAAGAGGAGGAGAAGAAATACTTGGAACCATAAAGAGAGCTTGGAATCACCATTACCATTTTAATTAATTCAAGGTGGATTCTAGTTAGTCTCCTTCCTTGATTAAGATTTATTCCATGAGAGAAACTAGGTTTTTGCTTGATCATGATTATAGAGATATTAAGACATGTTCTTATTATTGTTTCAAGCTTATTGATGACTGTGTTGATGTTATGTTCTGTTGTAATTTGATTTATATTTGTAGGAAAATTGTGGATTATGCAAATTATTTGTTTTTTCCTATCATAGATTATAACATCAGTTAATTAGCCCCGTATTATATACTTTAGAGCTAATAGTAAATTGTTAACTTAGAAAGAAAAAAAAAAGAAAAAACGATTTATTACACACCATTTGGTGGTGTCTATTCTGGTGAATAATAATACAATAAAGCATAGTATTGGCAGCTTGTTTGGAAATATGGACAGAACAGGATAATCCATTGTCGCTAATTGATTGTTGTTAATTTATAAGAAAATGATGCAGTAGTTTAACTTTTGGTCATAGAGTAAGTGACTTACCATTAGGCCAAGGCTATTGTTGTTGAATTCTTGTGCAATGGTATACTACTTGTATTCCAACTTCTACCATTGATTTACATACTTTACATTAACACTGTTTGATTGGGGTAAATAAATTAGAATGAGTTATAACCTAAGAACAAATTAAGTTAAGTTGATCATGAGAATGATATTAATTGATTCGATGTTTCCACCATAAAACGGGAATCGTACCTCCGATTAGTATGGGCTTGGAATCAATGGAAAAAAAATATAATACCTCATCAAGTGATGAGAAGGAAACTCATAAGTGTGCCATGGGCATTGTTTGAATGGTTGTAAGTATATCATGGATTGCTTATGTATGTTCTTGTATATGTTATGCCATTATATGTTTTCCATTTATAACATATGATATGCTATTATGAATGTCATGATTTAATTGAGTATGTTGATTGTGAATTTACATGATAAAATCTTATGATGATAAGTGAGAAAACCTAGGTATAAACTAGGTGAATGGACTAGAAAGATAAACTTAGGTTATGAAATAACTTAAGTGATGAAACTTGGACGAATGGTACCTCAGTGTATATCATAGTCAAGTATTTACTCGGATAATAAATAAACAGGCATTATATGGACATATGGAATAATATGAGAATTGGTAGATATGACTGCCCAGTGAATTGGTGAAAGAGATCACCTAGTGATTGATGAGAATAATCACGAATTTATGATGAACATAATCACGTATTTAGAGTTTCACTTGATTGTGCACTTTCTAAGTGAGATACTTAAGTAAAGTAAAAGTTGGAAATATGGCACCCATGATTCTCACCTCATAAATGGTTTGAGTCCATATAGGAGGTTGTCTCATAAGTGGGTTCGAGTCCCATAGAGACGTGGACACCAAAGTGGGTTTGAGTCTCATATGGTGAAAGATATTAAAAGTGGGTTCGAGTCCCATACGTGTGATGGTTCATAAAAGTGGATTTGAGTCTCATAAGAGAACCTGATATCTACAAGAAAGTCGAATCATACAAACATCTATGACATAAGGCCTTGATCTAGACGTAGATCCGGATTGGGGAAATATGTTTGTCACATCTGAATAGTGATTATTTTGAGTGGATGCACTCAAGTGTACATGTTCCTATACAATGCGAGAATTTCCTCATACTTAAATTTTTCCCCATTTATATGGCTTAAGTTAGAAAATTAGTTAAAAACTCTGTAGAGTTGAGTGGTCTCATAAGATAGAAAATCCACTGAGATTAATATTTCATCCCACTATTATTGTTGTTTTTCAGATTTATTACAGGTTAAAAATTCAAACAAAATCTAATGATGTTTCCAAGAATTTTGATTCCGAGATTTTCCGCTAGAATTTGTACAACTCTAGATATTGTGCTTAGATCTTAGTACATAATAAATATGTATTGTATAACATGTATATAATAAATATATATTATATATTTGAACATGTTTATATAATAACGTCATTAGATTTTTATGTTGTATAGTACTAAATAAATATTGTGTATAATGTATATCTTAGACGTATATTATTGAGGATATTACCTCTTACAAGAGACTTGTTAAAATGTAACTTGGCTATTGCCCTCATTTAAAAAAAAAAATCAAAATTATACACAAAAGGGAAAGAAAAAAAAATAGAAGAAGGGAGAGGTTCCATGCTTAAACCTAATATTGTTTAGTTGACAAAACCCTAGTCATCGATAACACTAGACCCATCACTTCGGTTTAAAACCAGCCAAATGACTCTCTGATCATTCCCCGAAGTCACCCCCTTCTAATATATCGAGGGTTTCTTCAACCACAAATGAACACCGATAACGCTTCAAAAGACGCTAACCTCATGGAAACGGAAACCGATGACTCTCAAGTACTTTCTCCAAACTCGTTTCCCTCTTTCTACTTTCATAACCCTAATCACAATCCATGATACTTTAACTCATATTCTTTTGATTTTCTGACTTTAATTTGAAATTATGAATCATGAATGGTTTTTTTTTTTTTTGAAGGCAAAAGACGAACAAAAAGAAGAACTCAGCGAGTCTATGAAGAAATTGGGCATTGGAGGTTCCTCTTCTGGGATTGGAAATGGTTCACCTAACTTCAAAAGGAAGCCTGTTATCATCATAGTTGTAGGAATGGCAGGTAAGAATTGCATTAACTTAGTTTTCTTTATATGTATTGTGTTTTTTTATTTATGAATGAGACTTACTCAATTGTGTTTAGGGAGTGGGAAAACTACATTCCTTCATAGGTTGGTTGCGCACACGCATATGTCCAACATTAGGGGTTATGTGATGAATCTTGACCCGGCTGTGTTGACACTTCCATATGGGGCTAATATTGATATAAGAGATACTGTTAAGTATAAAGAAGTCATGAAGCAGTTCAACCTTGGCCCTAATGGTGGAATTTTGACTTCTCTTAACTTGTTTGCAACTAAGTTCGATGAGGTAAACGTTGTATATTACTCCATGAACTTCTTGTTTGATATATTGCTGGTTATTCGATGATTGCATTTTGAATTTTGCATTTTTGCTTGTAGTGGGTTTGTACTTATTTATATTACTAATATAGGTAACATCATCCCTGATTCATTTTTATGTTGATAGGGGGTTTTCCTTGCGCTTGTCTGATCTTATGTTTTCTCCCCCTCCAGTTAAGCTATTGCTGTAATGTTTGAGATAATAATGTGTACACTGTCATTGTCAGTGACTCATATTTAGGTCCTTATTAGTTGTTTTTGTCTAACAATACATTTCTTTGTTTGCTACTATGTTCTGTTCCCACCCACAACCCTTCCAATGCAATTTAACTGATACTTATCCTTCTCAATATCAGGTAGTTTCTGTCATTGAGAAACGAGCGGATCAACTTGACTATGTTCTTGTGGACACCCCTGGCCAGATTGAGATATTCACTTGGTCTGCTTCTGGTGCTATCATCACGGAAGCTTTTGCCTCCACATTTCCCACTGTAGTTGCCTATGTGGTGGATACACCTCGTGCGGAAAACCCCACCACTTTTATGAGCAACATGCTTTACGCTTGCAGTATCCTCTATAAGACAAGGCTACCTCTCATCTTGGCATTCAACAAGGTCGATGTAGCAAAACACGAGTTTGCCTTGGAGGTATTTTTGATGAATTTTCTTCAGCTTCAATTGTGTGTTATGTGCTGTTGAGATTATTTCCTTGAAAGCTTAAAATAAATTATAGGATGTGTTTGTCTTCTATCTCACTATCAGCAGGTGAGGTTAACCTGTAAAATCTATTTGATAGTTTTAGCTCGGAAATTGTTTAAACTACAAAATATTGTTGCCCTTTCAGTACCTTTTTGAATTATTTTTAAAGTGGTAAAAAATGACATTTAAGCTGTATCTGTAATGAGGTTTGGTCTCGCACTAAAAAATTTCTCCAATACCTTAAAACAACATTCAAGTTCATGACATTCAATTGTCCTGCGAATTAAAATTTGTACTTAATTGTTCTGTTTTGAATAATTTATTTCTATCTTAGGCATGTTTTTATGCCTCTCTTATTTCTCATTTATCTGTTGTTGAGATTTCTCGAATACCTTAAGCAGTATTGGTGTTAGTTATTAGTTTAACCGTTCATGTTGGAGTTATTATTTTAGAGAGATTAAGCCATTTTCCTGCAAGTTCAGGGTTTATGGGCTCCTTCCTTTGCATATTTGATCTGAATCTATGTGTTTCTGCTCTGAAAAATAAAATGTCTACCCTATCTGCAATCCAATTCCGCGTCAATTCTGTTGTACAGAACTTGTGTTCTGTCTTGTTTTTATATTTGGCACAGAATTTGTCTTCATTTTTTCCCTTTTATTGAATTTGTTGTTTATCCAGTGGATGAAAGATTTTGAGGTTTTCCAAGCAGCAGCAAGTTCAGATCAATCATACTCGTCAAATTTAACTCAGAGCCTTTCTTTGGCACTAGATGAATTTTACAGTAACTTAAGGACAGCTGGAGTTTCTGCAGTTACTGGTGAAGGAATTGAAGGCTTCTTCAAAGCTGTTGATGCTAGTGCAGAGGAATACATGGAAAGCTATAAGTATTATCTACTCTTGACATACTTTTCATTTGTCAGCTAGCTTTTTAATGGCAAAGTAACTAACTTCTTTTATGCGATGTTTAGGGCTGATCTTGATAAAAGACGTGAAGAGAAACTGCGATTGGAGGAAAATCGCAGGAAGGAGAACATGGATAAACTGAGGAAGGAGATGGAGAAATCTGGAGGAGAAACTGTAGTCTTGAGCACTGGTTTGAAAGACAAAAAGGAAGACGAGGATGATGAAGAGGATGAGGAAATGGATGATGATGATGACGACGACGATGATGTGATATATTCTGACGAGGAGGGTGTTATAGATGAGGACGAAGATGAAGAGGTTGGTAGGTTTTCCTTCTGATGTGATTTTATCAACATTTGGATTGCATCGGAACGGGCTCTTGTATAGGACCTTGACTTCATATTTTTTGATGACTAGACCTTGACTTCATTTGGTACATGCATATGACCCTCATAGTTTGATTACCAATTAATTGCCCAGTTTATTTTCATACACTCTAAAAGCATTATTCTCTCCAGGTTTTTCACTGATGCTATTTATACTAGTAATTGCCAACCATGCTTGATTTTTGTGCAAATTGAGGGTTAGGGATTATTATGAGGACTTGTATCTTACTTAGCTCTTATTCAAGTAAAATATAATATAATCTAATACAGTATCCATATTTGAATTGAGCATCATTTTATCAATATTTTGGTCAGTATAAATTAGAGTTAAAATAAGTTATTGGTTCTTATAAACATATCAAAACTTGTTTTAGCTCATTTTTTCAAGTTTAGCTATACTTTTGGGTTTTCTATTTTAGATTGATAGTTTTAGTTTTTGGTTTAAAAACTCAATCTTTTAGTCTTTTTATTTTAATCATTCATGAAATTTTTTTAGTTCCCTCTATTTTAGTGGAGGTGACACCATGACAGTGATGTAATCATAATATCCAGGTTAAAAATGTAATTATATTTTATATTTATAATTAAGAAATTTTAACACATTTATTATTTATTATTAATAAATTAAAATATTAAAGAACAATGAAAAAACATTAAAAATAAACCTTTTATCAAGTTATTTGTTTTTTTTTTTCAATTGGTTTTAGCACTTTAATTTATTAAGAAAAATAAATGTATTAATTTAATTATAAAACATATGCTATTGAATATTGATAATTTTTGTGAACGGATTTATGTGTCTTTTTCATTGGTAAAATATAAAAAATTTAATGGTTGAATTAAACTTTTGTTTTCAGTTATCATAAAAATAAATAAATTTGTCTTTTATAAAATTACGAACAAAACTTTAATCTAGGGGTGAAAAAATAAATGGATTGAATGAATATGATTTGAATTTATGGACGGATTAAAATAATTCATTAGGTCATTAACAATCTACTAAATTTTTCTAAAAAATATCCAATCTATCCATTAAAGATATAATCCATCAAAATCTATCGAATACACTCATTAATATTATTTTAATATATGGATATCCGTCCATTTAATTTTATTTTTTTTTAAATATATGTATTTATTTAAAATAAAATATTTTGAAAAAAATTTGATATTTTGTATTTTCGAAAAAAAATGATATTATGTATTTCTATAAAAAAACTTAGTTTACTGTATTTTTTCAAACAACTCGAATTACTGTATTTTTGTAAAAAAATTAATTAATTGTATTTCTAAAAAAAAAACTCGATTTATTGTATTTTTGCAAAATTATAATTTACTGTATTTTACCAAAAACTTGATTTATTATATTTTTGCAAAAAAAACTCGATTAACTGTATTTCTGCAAAAAAAATGATTTATTGTATTTTCATAAAATAAAAAACTCAATTTTCTATATTTATGCAAAAAATACAATTTACTGTATTTCTGAAAAAAAAACTTAATTTACTGCATTTTTGCAAAAAACACTATTAACTATATTTTTGGAGAAAAAAAATCTATTTACTGTATTTTTGCAAAATCTAGATTTCCCGTATTTTCGCCGAGCATATAATAAATTGCATTTTTTTTTAAAATACAATAAATCGAGTTTTGCGAGGAAATACAATAAATTGACTTTTTTTTTGTAGAAATACAATGAATCAAAATTTTCTCAGAAATATAGTAAATTAAGTTTTTTTTAGAAAATATAATAAATCGAATTTTTTGTGAAAATATAACAAATTGAATTTTTTGCGAAAATATAGTAAATTGAGTTTTTTTTTTAGAAATAAAGTTAATTGAGTTTTCTGTGAAAAATATAGTAAATCAAATTTTTGTGTTGAAATACAGTAAATGGTTTTTTTTATTAGAAATACAGTAAATTGAATTTTTTTATGGAAATATAATATATCGAGTTTTCTGTGGAAATATAGTAAATCCATTTTTTTTGTAGAAATACAGTAAATCTAGTTTTTGACGAAAATACAGTAAATTAATTTTCTGTATTTTAAGAAAAAACGATTTTTTGTATTTAAAGAAAAACTCGATTTTTTGTTTTTCTGAAAAATCTTTTTTTTTTTTAATTTTCTGAGAAAATTGATTTTTCATATTTTTTTGAAAAAATTGATTTATTTTGTATTTTCAAAAAATTACTCCTTTTTTTTAGTATTAATAAAAATTATTTTTTTAAAATGATTTAATAAATTTAAAATATATGATAAAAAATAAATTATTGGATCATTTAAATATGTTGGATGAATTGTATCCTATCTATTGATTTAGTTTTTATGTAGTAGATAATTTGATACATTTTATCTAAATGGATTTAATTGTCACACCTACTTTAATCTAATTATTTAAGTTTTTTATTCTTTACTGACGAATAACAGTTGATTTAATATTTAAATTTTTATGTAGATTTAATATCATTTGTAACAAGGTGTTGTTACGGACACAAAAAAAAACAATTGAACTATAGGACAAAGAGGAAATAAGATGATATTGGAGATTGAAAAAGACAATTTTGCATATATCTTAGAAAGTCATTTTTTCTGTGTCGTTTAAACACGGAAAAAAGATAGCTTGTTAATGTTGTCACCAAATACGACATGACATCATAATTTATATTGGAAGACTTAAAAGAGCAAAATAGAGACAACTTAACATATTATACAAAAGATATAAAGCACGAGGTACCTACTAATCTTCTTTGAGAGATTCTTACATGGATATATAATACTTGTTGAACTTAATACAAAATGGAAAATATGTTTATTGTACACGAAACATAAAGAACTTCGATGTTATAAATAACATATTTTGAACATATTTTAATTGTGTGAAACTCTTGAATATGTTTTATTTGGGGTTGATCTTCGAAAATATTTAAAAAAATCATATCAGTTACCTTTGTTTAAAATTATCGATTAACATTAACAAAATTGACATTTTTATTAGGTTTTTCTTATTTGAAACATGAACAACAATTCAATATCATATGTGCATTAGACGTAATTAGAAAGATGTTCACATCAAAAAAGTTTATTTCTAAATTAACTTTAACACAATAAAGGTCTTGCTTTATAAATATAATTGAAATTGTTTTTCAACATCAGTCAACATTGTTGCGTCACTCTCATATTGATAAAAAATATTAAAAACCAGTTGATGTTAGAACTCGTTTCGAATCAGATTAGTCAGTCTAATAAAATAGATATTGGTGATGAAAACGGTATATGAGAGACTTTCTAAGATATATGCACATGATTATGAGAGACTATAACACTTTTGTCTCTTTGTTAATATTCTGGACTGGGCCCGCCCTGACCCAAAAGCAAGAACAAAGGCCCAATCCAAGCAGCTCCTCGAGGAACGTGCGCCCGCAAATTCCCGCCAGCGCGCCCGACCACAGACTGCAGCCGTGCCCGCCATTGCCCGTGACACATGGTGTCCCCGACCACAAGAACTCCAACTCGAGCCCCGCTCGAGTACTCTCCTCGTAGGGCAGATTCTGTCCTCTCTGACCGTTATCAAATCATCTAAACTCCGGAAAAACCGCGTCTTCGTCCCTCCTCATTTCTCGCAGAGCATCACCAGGAAGGGGACCACGTGCGGGTCCCCACTACACACGTAGAATCTGACAGTTCCTTTATTGGGTCAATTCTGGTCGGCCCAATGAGAGGACCTTAGCCCCGCGCTGGGGGCTATAAATACCCTATGTTCCTAGAGGGTCAGGTATTCATCTCTTACGCATACATACACTTTTTTCCTGCTCATTCCGTCACTCATTTTGGCATCGGAGTGTCTTGCAGGTACCCCCTTCCCATCTCACTCAAATTCTGCCCGAGTCAGTCGTGACGGTCCAAGTCTGATCAGGTAAGATCAATGGTGTCGTCTGTGGGAAACTAGCTTCCCCGTCTTGCAAACCCTCGAAGACCAAAGCTCAAATTCACCCCCTACCGTCATGGCTGACCAAGTCCGGGATGAACAGAACATCCGCGTCGTCGACGTCAGCAACAACGTCGGGGATAAAAACAGAATTCCCGACAAAGCTGGCAATCCCGGTCGTAGCACACTCCCCGGGGTCACCATCCCCGGGCCCTCAGTCCATCGCGACGGAGCTACTGCCTCGTCCTCTTCAGTCCCTCCGCCGCTCGAAGAAGACAACGCAACTCCCCCAAACTATTTGGCTGCCCAATTTCAGGAAGTCCCTGTCCCCACCGGGGCAGACGCCACGACCCGCGCACTGTTCGCGACGATCAATCAAACCAACTACCTCATCTTTGCCCAGGGGGAAAGATTGAGGGCGCTGGAAGATGATAGAAGACCTGTGAGGAGACACAGGAGGCCTCGGACTCCACCTCCTCGAGCAACAGAGGTACATCTCCCATCTCCCCCGCAGAGACAATACAGAGACACCTCCCGAAGCCCGTCGCCCCGACCGTCGGGGAGACGACCCCCCTTGGAGAGGCAACCTGTCATTGAAGCCGGAGGGCGCAACCATGCCCCCATACGGCAAGAAAGGAGACACTCTGGGGACAGGCACAGAAGAATTGACCAACGAGCACCCCGCTCGAGGGATACCCAGAACGACCAGGACCGTCGGGCAAGACAATATCTCAGGTCCCCATCCCTTTCCCCGGAGCGAAGTGATGAGGACGACCCCCGCGGTCCCCTGTCACAAGCCATCATGGAAGCACCCATTCCCCCGGGCATGGAGAAGCCTCCACATATGAAGGAGTACGACGGAGTCGCGGACCCAGTCGACCACATAGACGGGTTCGAGGCTATGCTGCATTACTACAACATCGAGGGACCCATCAAATGCCGGTTGTTTCCCACGACCCTCAGAAAGGCAACAATGGATTGGTATAAAGGCCTCTCCCCGGGATCAATCACCTTGCGGCGAAACCT